GCTGGGTTTCCTGGCTCCCTGTGCCGAGTTCCCGGGCCCCGTGTTCCGGGCCGACCTCGGTGGGCGGCGGGTGTCCCAGCTTCCCGGGTTCCTGGTGGATCTTCTCATCGATCGGTCTCGCCATCCATCCCATGACCAAATCGATCGATCTCACCACCGATGTCACAATCGATCCCGCGATCGATCTCGCAAGCGATTTCACTGGAGACCACGTGAGCGATCTCGCGATCGATCTCACTACCGATCTCACTGCATCGATTTCACTTTCGGTCTCACGATCGACCTTGCAATCGCCCCCACTATCGGTTCCACGATCGATCTCACAATCGATCTCAACATCCATTACTAATTTTCGAACCATCCAGTGATTGCATTTTTTCTCTGGTGTAATTGGCAAAACCCGAAAACAAAACCGAACTGCCACATATGCTCTTGAATTTGCCTTTTTTTTTTCCGTTTGGCAACACAGGTTTTGCAATGTTTTCTGGTTTTTCCGATTTTCGTCTCCGCGGCCCCGCCGCAAGCCACCGCCATTTCGCGCTCTTAATTGCAATGTAATTCGGAAGCACCGCAATCAAATTCAATTGGAGAGCACCAACAATCATAATCAACTTGACAGGCCCCGCAATCAAATGAAATTCGCACGTCCCCACGAATAAGATCAACGGGAAAGCCGCGCGAATCACATTCAACGTGCAAATCCCAACAACTGAACTCAATGTGCACCCCATTAACAACTTTAGTTTGGTTGTAAGTGGGTTGGGGGGGGCAAAGAGGCCGCGCCGCGGGGCTGCAGAAGCTCACCGGGGAAACATGTCTAAAGCAACGCGAGCAATGCAAACTCATGTCTTTTTCCTTGTTGAAAACAGATCAGGAGCACTTATGAATGTTCGCAATTTTGTGTGCGACTACGACTTAAAACACTGACATTCACAGGTGTTCCTGGGGTTCCCCGATGTTCCCATTTGACAACGCAGCGTTTCCTGTCGTGCTTCCTGTTTTCCTGATAAGTCTCCGCGGCCCCGCGGCAAGCCACTGCAATTACTCACGTGTAGAATCAATATGAAAATCCCCGAAACCGAACTCAATTTGCAAATTCCCACACTTAAAATCAACTTGGGAAGGCCCACCATCAAACTCGAGTTGAAATATTTAAGGTTATATACATATATATATATATACTAGAAGCCACGCGCGCGCTTCGCGCGCGCTCAGGAACCAGCGCAGGCCAAGGAAGCGTTGCAGCACAGTGGAATCCTCCGCCTCCCCATTTTCGGGAATGACGGACGAGAGACGGGAAGGGACATGCATGATGAATTCGGGTGAAGGCGTCAGCCGAGCCTCGCTTGTGCCCCTTCCCCAGGGGTCCAACATCGGATTAGAGAGGGGCGGAGCTCGGGGGGGTGGGGTGGTAGACGAGCTGCTCAGCGCATCCCCTAGGTGTCCAGAGCCTGCAGAAAGCCTCAAAACAGCCCAAGAGAGCCCAAACAGAGCGCCACCACAGCCCAAGAGGGTATCGGATCCATCGTGAGATTGATAGTGAGTTCGGCACTGAGATCGATGGTAAGATCGAAATAATGAGATCAAGAATGAGATCGATCGTGAGATCGATTGTGATTGATAATGAGATCGATGGTTAGGTCGACAGTGAGCTCGATCGTGAAATCGACCGTGAGATCGATAGAGTGATCTCAACAATGAAATCGACAGTGAGATCGATTGTGATCGGTTCTGATATCGACCGAGAGATCGTTAGTGAGATCGGTAGTGTGATCGATTGAGCTAAATCGACAATGCTATCGATGGTTACATCGACTGTGAGACCGATCCTGAGATCGATAATAAAACCGATTGTGAGATTGATAACCAGATCTTCAGTGAATTCGATAATTGGATCGATTGTGAGATGATCGACAGTAGGCTCAATGACGAGATCCACTGTGATATCGATTGTGAGACCGATTGAGTGAGATCGATTGAGTGAGATCGATTGAATGAAATCGGTCGGGCGAGATCCATAGTGATATCGATTGAGGCGTCGGTTCCTCCCCCCCAACCTCCTTATCATCCGAAGGGTGGTCGTGTAGGTCTATCAGGTATGGTGCGGCTGCATTTGCATCCCGGATGAGGGCTGTCGTGACAGACAATCACAGACTGAAACAGTAAGGCATCTCGCTCCACGATGCACATGTCGCGCTGTCCGCTCTCAGTCGCAGCAGTGTCCAGAGAAGCACGGGGCACGCAGAGAGAACCGACGGTCTGACACCTACGTCGGACGGCGGAAAGAGCGACTAAAGGCGTATCAGGAGTCTAGCGAAACATCCGAAGAGGAAAGGAGGAACGCAGGACATGGAAGACGGGAGGCGGGATGGAGCAGCAATGAGGAAGAAGAGAGGCGAGAATAAACTGGGAAGGACGAGAGGCGAAGGAGTAAGGAGAGACGGAGAAGCTAAGATATCTCTTGTGGCTTTCATTGACTCATGGCGCCATCTCTGACTACACACAATACAAAACAAACATTGTATGACTCTCCAACGACCCTCTGGGCGGCATCTCGGAGACCCCCCGGGCTCTCATGGATTCCTGGAACCATCTCTGACTACAGACGAGATATAACTGAACTCCTAATGAAACTGAGACGACCCTTCTGGGGAACCTCTCATGACTCTCAAGCGACCCTTCGGGCGGCATCTTGGAAACGACTTTGGCCCTCTTGGGCTCTTGTTGTGCAACGTGAGACCCCTACTGCTATATATCGGAAGACTTTCGGGCCATCCAAGGGCCTCCAGGGCCAGTGGCTGGATCCGCCGGGGGCCCTAAGTCTTGACGCCGCTTGGGGGTCTTATGAAGTTCTCGCGGGTCATCTAAGGGTGGAAGACTCGAAATAACAGTTCGCGTTCCCTCTCTTGGACATCTCTTGGATCCCTTTTCGGGCTCTCTTGGGCCATCTTGGGGGCCTCCTGGGTCGTCATGGGACCCTCTTGAGCCGTCTTGGTGCCGTCTTGGGCCGTCTCTGGGCGATCTTGGTGGCTTCTTGGGCCGTCGCGGACGCTGTTCAGGCCGAAAACGCGAATGTATTAAACATTAAAGTTTGCCCGAATGAGTGAGGACAACATATTTTTCTTGGGAACTCCTTTGGGGTCTTCTTGGGACCTTCTTGGGGCGTCTGTTGGCCTCTTAGGTGGTCTGGAGTACTTCCCGTTGGGGCCCGCATGGGGTCCTCTTGGGCCGTTTATTGGGCCATTTGGGGGCACTCCTGAGACGTCCTGCGGACCTCTTGGGGGCCTCTTGGACTGTCTTGGGACGATATTGGGAGCCTCTTCGGCCGTCTTGGACTAAGACCCCAAAGGTGAATTGCTCAACAGGTACATAGTCCTGTAGAACTGGGGCAAGTGTGGGCCTTCTGTGGCCCTCTCGAGAAACATCTTGGAACTTTTTGGTGCGTATTGAATATCGGGCCTTCCTCGATGGGGACGACGACGACGAGGACGACAGAACGTAGACGACAACGACGACGAAGACCACGACGAAGGAAAGGATGAGCAAGTGCAGGACAATATTTTGGAAACTTGTTGCGTGTTGGGAGCATCTCGGGACAACGTGCGCTTCCTAAGCTCCGCTTGGGCCTTCCTCGGGCCGTCGAAGAAGCGTTGCGGGACATCTTTATCATTGAACCGTACTGGGCCTCTCTTGGGGCTTTCGGGGGCGTTGAACATCAGTGTGTTCAATTGGACTCGGCCATCTTGAGCTTCCCTTGATACCCATGGGCGAGCCCAAGATCACGGCCCCGGGTACGCATGCGCCCCAGTGACGCCAGGGGCGCTCTCGTGGCCCCCAAAGCGGCCCCGTGGGCGCACAACTGGCACACAAATTGGTACGACAATCTACCAGATCCGTCCATCACACCGAGAGCGCCGAAGATGCTTTGTGAGCGGCTTGGCCAGGCTTCAGTGGGCTCCCGAGGCCCCAGACGAGTGCCCCGAGAAATGTGTCCTTATGGATTGTCGTTATGTTTGGGGTCTGGAGACAAATGCGGTCGTCTGGGAATGATTTTCCGGCGACTCGGGCGCAACTCGATGCCCTGTTGGGCTGTCCTGGACATGTCTCATGATTTTTGCTTCTCGTGGCCCTTTTGGGGGCCGTCAGGGTTTGGATCGTCTGGGGCGCGGTTGGGTCGTCTGGGAGCTTTCGCGGAGCGCCTTGGGAGCGCGGTGGGCCATCTGGAGGCGACCGCGGGCGTCTGGGATTGATTCTCTGGCGCCCCGGAGGCGCCCCGACAGCCTCGACTCGCCTCTTGAAAACCTCTGGGGCCCCCCGTGTGCCGTCAAGCCGCTGGCCCCGGGCCCCCCGGCATCGTGGACCTGAGTGTGGCAGACGACGGGAGCAGCGGCGGCGACGACAACGGCGCCGCAACTACGAGGACGACGACGACGACGACATCTGCGACGATTGTCACGATTACCGCGACGACGACGACGGGAGGACAGAGAGGGGACCCCAGGAAACCCCGAGGGAAGCAATGAACCCCACGGCCACGACGGCATCCTTCCGCCCATCTTAGCGCACCCATCACACGGATTGTGCGCCAGAAGGACGGAAACCTTTTGGAAGCACCGTGGGAGTCTCTGGGACTTCTTCGGGCCTTCCTTGGGGATGTTTTGGGGCCTAATTTTGGTCCGTCTGTGGGCCCTGCTCGGCCGTCCCAGGTCCTTCTTTCTGAAATCGAGGACTCGTCAGAGCCCTAGCAGTCATGTCTAGTCGTAACCGATGGTGATGAAAGCGCCCGGTGCTTTCTGTGCTATGGCAAGCGCCCTTGGTACGCGCCTGCCTCGCCCTGCTCACAAGGCTGTATAACGAATCCCGCCCACCCGCTGCCGAGCCTAAGAAGATGCGGGAAGGGCGCAACGCGTACCGCAAACCGACACCTCACGGATGCGCGCGCCCCCGCAATCCAACAGGGGGAAAAATCGGCAGTCGAGGCTGAAGAGCGGTCCCGCTTCCTGCTGTCGAGGATCCTCTTGGCCTCGGCGTGGTCCTGGTCGGTCGTCTCGTCGAAAATGCCCTTCCCGAGGGCTGATCTCTTTCGAGCAGAAAGGAGACAATCACCATGGACAATCTTCCACCTATGCTTCTTCAAGAAGGCATGCAGCACGCGGACGACTTGGAGGCTGGCCTTGGTCATGCCGTCCGCCAGCTGGGCACGGCAGCGCACCCAGCGGACGATGGCCCCGCCCTCCTCGAGGGCTTGGCGGAGAGCGACGGCTTCCATAGCCGTCCGCCTCTTGTCCAGACCCAGCCCGGCGGACTCGGACTTCACCGCGCCGCCATAAAATAATGCCTTGCAATCCGTCACGAGGGTCGCAAGCACCTGTCGTAGGGTATCGCGTCGGTCGTGGAGATTGAAGGTGCCGACGAGCACTTCATATAAGACTAGTCGGACCATCATCCGCTCGCCCTCGGCGTCGCTGGCCTCCTGGATCTCGGCAGATAGGCTGGGCGGGGCGACCCTCTTCATCTCGCGCGATTCCCAATCCAAGACTGTGAAATCGCTTGCCTGACGAAAGGGGTTCTTCTGCCGAGCTGATGGCTGTCACGTGACATCCTTGCGAATGTCTGGCAGGTCGGCTGGCCCAGGCAATGTCGCACGAGTTGTACATGCGGAAAACTGGGTGAGCTTCTCCGCGCCCCAGCAGAGCGTGCCGCAGTGTTTGGACCCCATCTGCCCGGTTCGCTTTGACCATCTTGGTGATATCGTTGGCGACCCCAAATCGCTCGTAGTCTCCGTTGAGTATTTGGCTCTGAACGTCGGCCACCCATGTCGAAACCCACGGAAGAGCATTCACCCCCAATCAAGAAATAGCTCCACGCCATGTCCGTAGAGTGCTCTGAGCCACCTCTGCCAGCTTGTCTGTAGAGCGGGCTTCAGGGAACCTTGGGGCGATCTCCTTCAGTTTGTCCATTTATCTTTGTTGGTTCCGGGAGAATCCCTTCTCTTTGCTTGCGATCGTGACCCCGCCGTGCTCGATGGAATTCGCGCCTTCATCCATGTCCTCCCAAGTGCCCCAGGCGCATGGCTCCGCGATGCTCTTCATGGTGGCTCTCCAAGCAGGATGTCCGCGGCCCCCGCAGAGGATGAAGTTATCCACGCGGCACATCACCAGGCCCAGTAGCGCGTTGGACTTGGAACACCGCAAGCACCACAGACAAGGCTCCAGATCGCAGGCCTGCAGCCCCAGCTTCGCGAAGTCGGTCTTCACCGTTCGCCGCCACTTCCAGGGGGCTTCTCCGACGCCGCAGCTCAGCTTCGCGATCGGAGTACTTCGCCCAGCCGCACTCCGAGTGTGGAAGGGAGAGCCTCGTCCGCCTCCACGCAGATCCTCCTGGAGGTCGTAGGCCTGGAGGAAGGCGCTCGCCACGTCGCCCTTCGCGATGCTCCAGGAGTTCGCTGCCGCGACGGTCAGCGGGATGTATCGAGCCCTTCTCGAAGCTGTCGGAGAAGCTGTCGGCCCCTCCCCCCGATGTCCTTAGCCTGGAACCCCAGGGGGGCGAGGAGTCGGGCCCTACGCCCAGCGGCAACGCATCGCGTCGGCGGGGCCCTTGACCTCGGACATGGGTACTGGGCGCAAGCCTTGATACTGCTTCCAATTGTTGGCCTTCTGCGTCATCGCTCGGCGGAACCCCACCTTCTCCGTTGGAGACAAACTCTTCCAGTGGAACTCGCTATTGTCCTTCCTGGCGACGAAGCAGTCGAGTAGCGGAGTAGTGAGACGTCGACGCCCCTGGCTGTCCTCCAGCTCGGACTTCAGAACTGCATTGTAAATCGTCATATTCTCGTCCTGAGCTCGACGTCCGTAGAGTTCGGGTCCCCGTGGGGTTCGTCGGCAGGCCGCCAGCGAAGTGCCCCTGTCGTTGAGCATGTCGCTCGGCGGGAGGCTGACGGTAGGTAACCTCGTCGGCATTGGAATGCAGCCGCGAACGTGAACCGGGATTGCGAGTCAAAGATGCTGGAGTCGGGGCTGCTGGCGACGTCGAACGCATCTGCTCGGAGGCAGGCTGCTCGATGTCCGAGATAATCGAGGGGGGTCGGTGAAGACTCAGGTGGCGTCGGTTCACCAGCGGGTTCGGATTGTACCTCTGCTCCTGTGGGCCCTGTAGCGCCATCGATCATCGGCCCGGCGTTGTCAGGGTTCTCTGGCGGCCCAGCCGGCCCGACGGCCTGTGGCTCGCAATCCTGAAGGTTCGGGACGCTCTCGGAAGTGAGATCGTCGAAGGTGCCGCGGCGCGCCACTTCCATCAGGTCAGATAAGGTAGCTCCTCTCCCTTCCATGCTGTTCAGCTCGGCTACCTGCATGCGTTCCGCTTCCGTGGCAGGTCAAAGCTGTTCTGGTGCGCATCGTAGGAGAACGTCGCCGCAAGAGATCCGGATGACTGAAGCGATCAACCTGCCAGGAGGCGTTGCTCCTGCGTCAGCACCCCACCCTGGCCGGTCCGCGTCCCTTCCGCCAGTAGTAGCAGTGAGCGCCGGTGTTCCAGCGAGCAGGCATGCGGCTGCGAGCATGTTCTGCGTGTCGGCGCCGTTAGGATTACTCCATTTCGATGAAGCTCTGCCGTGCCTGAAGGCGTCGTTGCTCTCTGCCCCCATCCGTTCCCGTCGTCGATGATAGCGAATGGGGTTGCTCGCAGCTTGGGCGCGTCCGATGCCGAAAGCGCGCGCGAACGGGGAATGGTCCCCTACCGTGTCAAGGTCGTTGATGGTGTCAACCACCTGGCTGATGGCCTCGTCTATGTCACAGTCGTGGTTCTGCTTCCTAAACTTGGTGAGCGTGCGCTTGAAGAGCTGAATGCGCCGCTCCACCTTGCCCATGAGCCAGTGAGCTTCTCCAGGCGCAATGAACATCTCGACCCCGCGGGAGCTGCACCAGCTCTTGGTAAGCTCTGCTCGGCGACACCCTTCAGCATCGCAGCGAATCAGAAGGAGCCCGATAGTGGTTGGTCCTCGATCTCCAAGTCTCCAGCAGATCTACGGCTGAACGATTCCCAGACCGCTGAGACTTATCGCCATGGTCGGCGGCCTCGGTTAAGCCTGACCCTCGTCGAGGTTGAGCGTCACGAAGTAGATCGCGTCGCAGCGGGTCAGTCAATTCCAGACCGTTGCTGCCCATCACCTTGAAAACCTCAGGGGCCTCGATGCCGGCGGCGGCCCAGACAGCTTTCGGCAGGACGGGCGAGTTGCAGGCATGACGCTTGAAACTCTTTGCCATCTTCAGCACCTGGAGGCCAGCCCTCGAGTTCTTCAGGATCTTGAGCATCGTGCGAGCACTGGGGTGACCCAGGTTCCGGCGTAGGCGACTGAGACGGTGCTCGATCTCCTGCTCCTTCTATGTGGACAACTGGCCCTCGTCCTTAGCGAGCTCCTTGAAGTCGTTCTCCTCGAAACCGTCGTCGGACCCGGGTGGGTCCACGATCTCCTGGTCCTCGTCTTCTCCGGTGCTGTCGTAAATCAGCTCGGTCTCGTCCTGGTCCGCGGCTAGCGGAGTCGCCGAACCTGCAACTGCGCCGCCTCCTGCTCGGGGGATGCGCTTTGCCCAGGCCTTGCATATCGTCTCGGGGTAGCACGCGGTCGATGACACCACCTTGCCGCCTTTAATCTCCCCGTGCTCATGGTTGTCGTGCCTGCCAGAGCGGTTGCTACACCGCTTCCCGATGGCTTTCTAGAGCTCGGGGTCAGTCGCGGAGATCCGCCAGTCTTCGCGAAGCAACAGTCCACTGCGAGGGCATCGCAGACCGCGCGCACATCCTGAGACCAAGGTCTCGAAGGTCTGCTCCCAGATCCGCTGGGGGGCCGATGAACGGGACCAGCTCTGGAATCGCTGAGGCCGCTCAAGGCCGGCCGAGAGGAGGGTCTCACAGCGTGTCTGAATATGGCGAGCCTTCCGGATATTCCTGCGAAGCCGTTCCCGATCCGCTTCGGACTTCTGGCTCCAGTTCTGCAGTAGGCAGTCGGCCGTGCACGGAGGGCGCATGACGATCCTGCGAGGTCGGTGCTGCCCTTTCCAGCGAGGCAGTCGTCGAACTCCCGTCTCGGTGCCCATGTCGAAGCCGTTGTGGACCCCTGCGCGAAAGGCGCGGCCGCCCAGGTCGATCACCGCAGGGGCCAATCGAGACGTCGGCGGCGCGCAGAATTCCAGCAGGTCGCACCGCCCGTGGCGGGCCAGCAGGTTGACGTCGTGTCCAGGTCGTACTGGTCGATAGCTTGCTGGAAAGTGTCCAGGTCGTGGCTGTTCATAGCTCCTCTCGGCCTCGCTCGGAGGCTTCCACGGGCGTCGCAGAGTCGTCCAACAACTAAGGATTCCGACGAGGGGTCGTTTGCCAGCTTCTTCATGATCTTGATCAGCATGCGTCTCCAGCGCATGTAGATCACCTCGGGCCTGCAATGCAAGCTGACATCGGGGCTCGCTGGCCTTGGTGTGCGTGGCATTTGTGGCTTCGCTTCTCCCGCCTGTGCCAGCTGTTTCTTTGGCGGGCGGAAGTTCTGCGCGAAGTCCAGCATGGGCTTGCCCGCGACCCTCACGTGGCATGGGTGGGTCTCGCCGCCCGTGCGCGAGCAACCGTTCCGCTTGCGACCTAGTTGCCCGCGGCATCCGCACCTCTGAAAGCCCCGAGCACGAGACTTGGCAGCCTGCACCAATGTTGCCGCGGGGTTGGCCCCGGCAATATTCGGAACCGCATCCTGTGGAGGTGCAGAAGCGAACTCGTTTTGCACGGCCCTTGCCTCGCATAGGATCTGCGAAGAACTGGCTGTCAGAGAGGGCGGCAATTTTGCATGGAATGGAATCATCCTGCGAACAGCTGGGCGCCCCTGTGTTGGCGAAAGCGGCGGAGGCACAGCTGAAGGCAGACGATCCCGTGCCCCGGCGGCATGCGATCCGTTGGATATGGCTAGTAATGGAAAATTCCTGACTATTCGTCTCTCCAAAACAAAAGTGCTCGGCGCGCGGAGTCGTCCGGATCGGCGAGTGACTCTGGAAGGTGTTTCGTCAGTTTCGGTGCCGGACTCGATCTATATCGCGAAGTCGACGGGGATTCTGAAATTGTCGAACCAGTCCTCCAGTCCTCTGCAATCCCGACGATGTCTCCCAAGATGCCCGTGAAGATGGTGACCGTTTCGAATTCGCAGATGTCGTGCCCCCTGGAGTCCATGACGGTGTAGAAGTGCCCAGAGTACCCCGTGGGGGGCTCGGAGGTCTCCGCGAGGTGCCAGGGGGGGTCGAGGATAGAGTATGATCACCTGAGTCTGAGGGAGGCGTCTCAGGAGCAGTTAGATTCTCTGCGGGTTTGCCGTGGTTTTCTTTCTTCTGAGGCCCCCCAAATGGACGCGTGGAAAAAGCTGTTCTCGGATCCACCAGGGGGCGCTGCCCCTAGCACGAGGGCGCCGCCGTCTCGTCCGCGGTAGGCTCGGCCGAGCCCGCGGCCGCAAACGGGCCGGGCGCGCCCCCCAGGGCGCGGCGGCTCGCGATCTCCCGGAAGCCCGGGGGGCTCAGCGGGATGTTCGGCCACCAGGTCGGCGTCGTCACGTTGATTGCCAGGTGCCCGCTCGGCATCTTCCGACATTGGTGGATGTGGTTCGAGATCTTGGGCAGCATCAGGTAGCCGTTCCCGCAGTCGATCAGGGCGCTGGCGTGGCCAGGCCCCAGAATGTCCGCCCCGATCAACACCAGCGCGTCGTCGTCCATGACAGAGATCTCGATCCTCTCCTGTCCGCTGCCCAGACAGATGTTGCCGACCGTGAAGCCCATGGAACTCTTGCGCTGTCCATCACGGAAGGTGAAGAATCGCGTCGTCTCGGCCAGGCCGAACTCAGTGTCAAGCTTCTCCTTCATGTTGCGGACAAGGAGCTTCGCAATCGCGGCCCCAATATGGCTCCGGGCAGCCCCGCAGTCCAGGATCGCCCAGCTCGAGGAGCGCGAAGGAGGTTGTCTCGTTGGGCTGCGGCTTGCCACGCGCCGCACCTATCGGGGCAGCCCTTGGCCTGGCGCCCGTAGCTGCGGCGAGCCAGGCGCCTCATCCTGCGCCTGACACGCGCCTTTTCCTGGCATCCTTCAGGTCGAGCTCCGCGCTGTGGCTCGCGAAGGAGAAAGCGGGGTTCGCGGGCTTCGGGGGGGGGCGTGGCGCCGCGACCGGGAAGTAATCCCTTGCCACCTTCAGTGTGCGGATGAGGTCCCGCGCGACCTCGAAATTCCTGCCCATCTGCTTGAACTTGGCATAGATGCCGTCCTCGGGGTCGTCTGGGAGCTCAGCGTCGCCCAACATCAGCGCGTCGTCTTCGCCCGCCAAGCTCGCCAGCTGGTCCGCGATGTCTGCAAGCTCCGATCGATCATCGCCGTCGTGGCCGTCGTATCCATTCTCGCCCGCCTCGCCATAGAACGCCGCGCGCCTGCCCTTCTTCTCGCGCACCCTATCCAGCTCCTTCAGCGCTTCCATCGGGCATCTAGTGCACAGCGCCTTGTGCGCCTTGTCGAAATCATGGTCGCCGCCCGCCGTCGCCGCGCGCGCAACAGGCGCCAACCTTGAGCCGCGCAAGTGCCACCGCGTCTTCAGCGGCCCCGCGATGACCTCCGCCACGGAGCCACCCACCGCCTTCAACTGTGACGAGTGCCCCGCTCGTGGGCTTGCCAGCGCGCTGTCCAGTCGGGGAAGCCCTCGCCCGACCCCCGCTGGAGCTTGCTGAAGAACTTCTCAGCTGAGGGCACCATCTCATTCACATTGGACAGGTCGAGCCTGGAGAAGAGGATATCGAAGGCACGGTTCCAACCCGTCAGCTTCCCACTCTCTGCCACCTCGTCGACCTTGTCGATGTCGGGGCACGCCTGTGCTAGTCGCCGCGTCCTTGCCGCGAGCGCCCTCGCAAGCTGGGGCCCGACCACGTGCCTGTTCTGCGTCTTGTAGCCCTTGCCGAAGAGCCCGACATCGAACCTGCACGACAGTAGTCTGTCGGGCGTTTCGTCCCGGGAACGTCTAGGCGGAGACCAGCTGCGCCTCCCGACGATGACGTTCCATTCGTCATTGCGCGCCGTGGTCTTAACGTTGGCTCTCGCTACCAATCTGAAATCGGGGGCTCGTCAGAGCTCAAGTACTCGTGTCTACTCGTAGACGATGGTGATGAAAACACCCGATGCATTTTGTGCTATGGCAGGCGCCACATGGCACGCGCCTGTCTCGCCCTGCTCACAGGGCTGCATAGTGAATCCCGCCCACCCGCTGCCGAGCCTAAGAAGCTGTGAGAAGGGCACAACACGCGCCGCAAGCCGACACTTCACGGACGCGTACGTCCTCGCAATCAAACTCTTGGCCCGCCATGGCCTGAGGCCGTCTTGGGGCCCTCTTTGGGCAACCTCCGACCGTGTGGGGATCCTCCGCTGGCCCTCCCGGAGCTCCCTGGGGACTCTCTTGGCCGTCCTGGAGATCTCTTGTGCTGCTGCTGGGCTGGAAGTTTTCTTGAGGCCGTCTTGGGGGCCGCTTGGAAAGGAAATCAATGATGTTGGCCTCTTCGGGCCTTCCTGGAGGCCTCCTTGGGGTGCTCCAAGGCCCTCTTGGAAGCCATCTTGGGCGTCCTGGAAGCCTCCAGGGCTGCTTGGACACCTTCGGGGGCCGTCTTATTTAGGGGCCTCTTGGGTCTCTCTGCAACCATCATGGAGGCCTCTCGGGCGATCTTGGGGCGATCCTTTGGGTTTTTGGGCCGTATCGGGCCGTCGGAAAGCGGGAGAAAAACAAACGCCAAAATCCTTCAAACATCTAAGGAGGATCAATGGTGATCGCCTCTTCGGGCCTATGTGGAGGCCATCTTGGAGGCCTCCTAGGCCGTCCTGGGCCATCTTAGAACCATCGTGAGCCGTCTTGGTGGGCACCTGGCCCGTCTGACCCTGTCGGAAGCTGTCTTGACGGCCTCTCTGGGCCGACTTGGAGCCCTCTTATGGGTGCTCCGGGGCCGTCTTGGAAGCCATTTTGGTCGTCTTGGAAGCCAATTGGGCTGCTCGGAGACATTTGGGGGCCGCCATGGGGGCCCCTTGGGCCGTTCTGGGGCCATCCTGGAGGACTATTGGACGATCTAAGAGCGATATCCGGGCGCTCTCGGGCCGTCACGGGCCGTCGGAAGGCCGATTGAAGCAAACGCCAACATCCTGCAAAAACCGAAGGACGATTAATGATGTTGGCCTTTTCGGGCCTTCCTGGAGGCCCTCGTGGGGGCGCCCCGGGGCGCGTTGGCCATCTTAGAGCCATCCTGGGCCGTCTTGGTGGGCTCCTGGCCCGTCTGACATTCGGGGCCCTCCCGGGAGCCTCTCGGGTCGTTTGGGGCCATCCTGAGATCTTCGTGGGCGATATTGGGAAGATCTGCGGGGGCTCTTGGGCCGTCTCGGGCCGTCGGGGGGCCGAAAAGAAGCCAATCCACATATACTCCAAGAACCTGAACAGCAAATCAATGCCGGTGGCCTCTTCGGGCCTTCTCGGAGACCGCCTAGATCGTCTTGGGTCATCTTAGAACCACCCTGGGTCGTCTCGGTGGGCCCCTGGCCCGTCTGACGCCCACTTGGTGCCCCCTCTGGGGTGCCCCAGGGCCGTCTTTGAGGCCATCTTGGGCGTCTTGGAGGCCCCTTGGGCTGCTCGGGGCCCTTTTGGGGCCGTCTTGGGGGCCTCTTGGGCCGTTCTGGGGCCATCCAGGAGGCGTCGAAAAGAAGCAAATGCCAAGGTCCTTCAAAAACCGAAGGAAGACAAATGATGTTCGCCTCCTCGGGCGTTCCTAATAAACCCCCTTGGAGGCCTCTTGGGCCGTCTTGGGCCATCTTAAAGCCACCCTGGGCCGTTTTGGTAGGCCCCTGGCCAGTCTGACGCCGCCATAAGCTGTCTTGGCGGTTTTTCTGGGCCCACTTGGGGCCCTCCAGGGGGGTTCCAGGGCGTCTTGGAGGCCTCCTCGGGCTTCGGGCGTCTTATAAGCCTCTTGGGCCGTTTTGGATTAGGAACGGGGGTCCTGGAGCCCTGCCCCCCCCATAGAAAAATGTTTCCGGCCCCCCCCCCCCGGGGGCCTGAGCCCTGGTTTTAAACATGTATATATATATATATGTATATATGTATGTGTATATATAGAAATATTTACACACACACACACACGCTTCGCCTACACCCATTGTTGTGCGCTCTGCCAAGGAACTCGTCTAAGCCAGGAGCTCAGCGGGCTAAGATGGCCTAGCGGGCTAAGCTAGCTTGCACTCCGGGACCCGCGTCCACTTGACCGCTGGCCGAGATGAGCACACACACACACACACTCAGCACGATCGCCGACGAGCAAGCACAACGGCAACATAACTAGCTAGCCTGCACTCGCGACCCCTTTCTAAGCTCTCCCGGCAAAACCTCGCGCGGAGGCAGGCACGGCCACGCGCGAGCAAGCCTGTCTAAGCCAGGGGCCCAGCGGGCTAAGAAGGGCTAGCGAGCTAGGCTAGCTTGCACTCTGGGACCCGCCTCCACTTGACCGCCAGCCGATATGAGCACGCAGTCAGCACGATCACCGACGAGCAAGCACAACGGCAACATAACTAGCTAGCCTGCACTCGGGACCCCCATCTAAGCTCTCCAGGGGGCCCTGTGCTGCCATTGGCCACTTTGTCTTCCCCCTCTCATCTACTCCTTCTCCTCCAGTTCGGGGTGGGACGACAGACAGGGAACAAAAAAGAGCGGAGCCTTTTCAGCTCGCCGCTGCTCGCAGACGGGAGGCGAGCAGCTCGCAGCGCTGGCGCTGCAAAGGCGAGAGGATCGGCTGCGTGGCCTCGGCGACGGCGTCTCGGACGCAAGGCGGGCCGTCCTCGCCGAAGCCCAAGGCCCACTTGCCCCGGAGCAGCGTCTCCATCGAGCCGTGGCCGCGGAAATCGGCGGAAGCTCCGCCGCGCCTCCAGCTGTGCAAGGTCAGCTTGGCGTATTGCAGCTCCAGCAGCTCGCGCACCTGGCCGAACATGCACATGAAACTGCTCGGCTCCATCCCGAGGCTGCAGGTCGCTCTGCCGTGCGCCGGCCCTGGTTTTGGCCAGGAACGCGGCCGCCACTGTGCTCCGCGCGAGCACGAACTCGCGGGCGCCCGTCAGAGACTGGCTACTGGTGTTGCGCAGCTGCAGCACTGCCTTGCGCCGGGCAGGGTACAGCTGCACGTCGGACCACGCGAGCGAGGTCATCTCGCCCGTCCGGAGTGTGATTCCCGCTCACTCCCCGTGCCCTTCTGCTCCTTCCCTGCTCCCCCGCTCTATCCCTCATGCCCGCCTTGTCGCTGCCGTTTTGTTTCGAACTAGGGCCCTTGGCCTTAGAGCTACGCAGATTGATTCGCCGCGCGATCATTCGACAAACGATATCAACGATATCCGTATCACAGTGGTAGCTTGGAGCGAGGCTCGCTATCCCGGCCCGCGGGGCCGCATACCCAAGACGACGTCCGCGACGTCGCACTCCATATTGGAATCGAGGCCCAGCGGCCTCCTCGCGCTGCTGCTCAGCGCCTACGCCTACGCCAGCGTCGGCGACGCCAGCACCTACGCCAGCGTCAGCGACGCCAGCGACTACGCCTACTACGCCTACATCCCTGCCAACTCCAACGCCAGCGTCAGCGACGCCAGCTACTCCATCTTCTTTCCCACCCTCAGCAGCGACGACAGCTACTTCTCCTACGCCTGTGTCAGCGACGCGGCATACTTCTCCTACGACGGTGTCAGCGACGCCACAGACTTCCTCTACGACGGTGTCAGCGACGCCACATACTTCCTCTACGACGGTGTCAGCGACGCCATCTACTTCCTCTACGACGGTGTCAGCGACGCCACATACCTCTCCTACGACGGTGTCAGCGACGCCATCTACTTCTCTTACGACGGTGTCAGCGACGCCAGCTACTTCTCCTACGACGGTGTCACTCCCCACCACCTCATCGACACGGCAGGCGCCGACATCGATTACAGCATCGAGTTCAATTCCAATTTCATTTCGTGGTCTGGTATTCTTTGCAGTCCATTCATAGACAAGATGACGGAGTTCAATCACAACCAGTCAGTGATACCAAGCTGGAATGGAGATCCAGCGAAGTGGCGAGATTACAAGCAAGAAGTAAAATTGTGGAAGCTCAGTGAGAATCTGGAAGTGACACAAAGTTTGGCATCGAAGCTAGTCCTGCGGCTGACGGGTACCGCAAGGTCGGCTGCACTCAACATGACGGAGCAGGAACTTCACCCGCTGCCGGACGCCAACATCGAGGATGCGAGCGAGCAGAAGCGCGATCGCAACCAGAAGGGCATCGAGAATGTGCTGAAGCATCTCGAGACAAACCTAGGCCAGCAGAAGCCGGTGCAGAAGGGAGAGACGCTAGAAAAGTTCTTCGAGTCGACTCAGCACCATCGCCGCCGCGGAGAACGCATGACGGATTGGCTCGTGCGATTCGAAGCGGGACTACAACAATTACGCGAGAACGAGGTTGACCTCACCACGCTTGACGACGTGGCCGGCTGGTTCCTGCTACGCAAGGCTGGGCTCACGGCCGAGCGCCGTGAGCGCGTCGTATGCAACTTGCCGGACGAGCATTACTCATTTCAGCGCATCAGGGGCCTGCTGGTGCGCATGTTCCCCGATATCCATACATCGGAACGACGCACAAGCTTGCCGTCGCGATCGTGGCCGCAGCGATCAAACAGTAGTTGGCAGCGCTCACCGCCAAGCCGAGCACGTTCAGCCAACGTCGCTGACGAGCCAGAGGACGAGCACGAGGACTCGGAGGACGGCGACGACAATGACACGGAGGCAGACGTCCAGGACATCGTGCGCCAGGAGCTCGAGGCTTTCAGCGCCGAGCTGGAGCAGTCCAATTACGACCTCGGCGAGGTGTTCGGCAGGGGCGACTCTGCCAAGGTGGAGGCTGCCGCGGCGGAGCTCGCCGCGATTCCCGAAGCCATGGCGACCATACGGTCGGCCCGGGAGGCTATCAAGGGCCGCGGGAAGGCTTCGCCTAAGCGCCGACCCGCGGGCAAGCTACA